CCTGCTGAGTCAGTAAAGGTAGGGGTAAAGGTGGAGTGGTATGAGTTTTGAAATAGTTATACTAATGGTCTGTGATTCCAGGCTGAGAAATTCAATGAACAGAATACTGGTTATGACTATATTGATATTTTTAGGTATTAACATGAATCATTCTTATTTCTGTACTAGAGCAATTTGTTTTGTTTTTTCAAGAGCATGATAAATAATGTCTCTCCTTTTTCTTTCAGTCTGTATTCATATCTATGCTAGAGTGGATTCCAAGTCAAACCTCACAGATTTTAGAAGAGTTTCAGTTCACACCCAAACTGTGCAGCCTGGCTGTATTTTTATCTTTATGTCTTCTTTTTGTCTTTTTTTAATCTTCTTCTATCTTTCTATCTTCCCATGAGAAAAAGGCAAATTCCTAAACTGATTTAACTTGGAAACTAGGTAATTTCCAAGGACTGGATGAGATTGTGGGATACTAATGGATATTAGGAATTTTATTCTTGGATTAAACTTCTACACCCTCACTGAAGTAGAGATCAAAGTTTTAAATATCTCTTGCTATTGATAACCCACAGAATACTCATGCTAAGTAGCAGATGATCAGATCCTACACTCCTGAAATAAGGCAACTATTCCATTAATGGCGTTTACCCTTTCCATAAGTCAGCCATTACAGAGTAATATTATACAGTTAAAACCAGTATATCCATATTTCTGATATTTTCCTAATGGAAAAGAGGAAAGAAAAAAATTAGATTTCTTATTTTTCAGACTTGCTGGTATGTGTGAAAAATGAAGGGACTGGTTGGATTATAAGGTTAGAGACACTTCTCATTACCTTTATTTACCTCATTCTCCTCTTATCTTTATCTCCTCCCATTTTTTTTTTCTCCTCATTGCTTTCTTCTTTTAATTTTACCATTTGCATTTCTCCTTCCTCTTGTATATATTTTCTGCAGCCAGCTGAGGATAGAAACCATGCCAAATGTGACAGCATGGACTGTCACATCATTGGAGAACCCTATGCAAATAGCTGGATCTACTTAATTAACCAATTAAGATGTTGCTGGGGGTCTGAGGCTCACAAATGTCAGTGAGAGGGAAAAGACAACATCAAAGAAGTTCATGAAACTGAGTTACTGTTAAGGGAAAGGAGTTCCAAAGGGGCGGAAGGAGAGAAAACATCTTGCTTGAGGAGAGCGGTACACAGAGTAGAGCACTCCTGGAAACACCAGGAAATTTCCACAGAAGTAAGAGTTTATGAAAGAAATGGGAGTGAAAGAAATAATAGCATTGAAATAATGATAAAATAAATACCAATACACCCCTTTTTAGGAACTGTCACATCCTTCAGTTTCTTTCATTCCTTACCTCCACAGCTACTTCTTTGGTATTGGTCAGATGACTGTGAAACAGTCCTTCCAGATCCTTTCCTTACTGATATGAGAGGTGCAGTGCTCTTGGGGATGAGGCAGGTACATGAGCCAATAAACAGGAATGACTGCAGTTTCTGAAATCAGCAGGGATGCTAGATCTCTTTCTAAAAGAATATTGTCCACTCCATGTGAGGGTGTAAAAGGGAGGGGATAAGAAGAGAAACTGGCAATTTCTGAATCTCATTTTGTTTGAAGAATACTATCCTCAAGGATCAAGGTATCTGTTCTCCATTTAAGTGTTTTTCATGTAGTTTGTGGAAGACTAAGACAATGATGAAACAGAGAGAGGCCCAATATGAGGCCATTCAATACCTGATGAGATTGCTTGACTTCAAGTGATTTTTTTTAGGGGAGGGCCTTGTATGAGTGCTTAACACAGGTATAGGCAGACTAGGTTTGTTGGGTAAATCTTTTATTAGACCAACTAAATAGTTGGAAAAATTGTTCTTTGTAAAGTCAGTAAACAGAAACTTTTCAAAGAATTTGTTTTCCACTTCTTTAGTTGGTCTAATTAAAGATATCACATTTGCCCAAAGGTGGGGGTCTACTACAGGCCACCCAACCAAGGGGAAGAGCTAGACCGGGAATTCTAAAGTCAGCTCACAGAGGTAGTTAGGTCAAAAGATGTGGTCATCATGGGGGACCTGAACTTTCCAGACATCTGCTGGGAACAGCAGTCAGCCAGGTCTGACCACTCACGTAGGTTCCTAGCTGAGATACAGGACCTCCATCTAACTCAGGAAGTGCACAGCCCCACTAGGGGAGATGCCTTGTTGGATCTGGTGCTGGCCACAGGCGACGACCTGGTGAGGGGACTGCGGGTGTTCAACCACCTGGGTGACAGCGATCATCGCCTGCTAGAATTCACCATCCAGTGCAAGGTGGCAAAAGCCTGCAGTGAGGCAGCAGCCCTGGACTTCAGGAGGGCAGATTTCAATGAGGTAAGAAGAATAATTGGGGAAGTACTGAGGTCCCAGAGGGGAGGGGAGTTGGGTGTCCAAGAAGAGTGGTCGTTCCTTAAGGAGACAATCCTCCATGCCCAAAGGAAGGTAATCCCAACAAGGGTCAACGGCGGCAAGAGGGCACAAAAGCCCCCATGGCTCACCAAAGGCATACAGGAACGTCTCCTAGCTAAAAGGGAGGCGTACACCCAATGGAAGGGAGAGGCCATCACCAGGGAGGACTATACCTCTGTTGCTCAGGACTGTAGGGGGGCGGTCAGGAAGGCCAACGTAGAGATGGAACTGGGACTAGCTACCCAGATTAAGGACTTGCCAGTTACCTGTAACTACGCAAGCAATTCGTTACCTGTAACTACGTAAGCAACCTTACCACCTACGTCGCAGCCATCAGCGGCGTAAGTAAAGTTAAAGTAAAAGTTATTTTGCAACCAATGTGCTGTGCCCCGCCTCTCCATCCACCAGCCCGCCTGACGGCCAAGTAATCAGTGATCCTCCTCAAGTTGGCTCCGGCCGTCTGAGAGACATCCCAGAAAATTTTCAAGAGCAGGTTAGATAAACACTTGGCTGGGATGATTTAGTCAGGCATGATCCTTCCTTGCACAGGGGGCTAGACTAGTGACCTGATGAAGTTCCTTCCAGCCTTACTTTCCTATGATCCTAAGCCCATAAGAGCGTCCTGATAAGGGATCTATTTCATTCTCTTCAGTTCAGCACAGGCCTGGGCACCTGCTTGATATTTCCCATAAGTTCAAGGCTGTAATGTTCATAATTTGTTTGAGACGTCAGTTTTAGATGCTCATTATTGTTTTAAATGGGTTTCTCTGAAAGCTTCCAAAAGAATAAATGGTGTATTTTTCAAAAGAACTATTTTGATTTGCACTTTTCAAGGACTTGTGTTTAGGGCACAAAAAAGAAATAAAATATCCAATTACTACTCTGTATTTTTGATATTGCAGTATATAAAGGCAGAACAACATGTTCTGTAGGAATTTAATGTTGGGAACAATAACTACTAATTATCAGTTTTTAAAACATTGTTTAAACTCAAGGTCATATCAATACAAATTGCATGTACTTGTAGTTAGAGATTTATAATGTGAGAAACACTCATGGTATTTTACATGAAACAATTACTGTGGCAAAATCCTGGTGTCTTTATTTATGCTAGACAGTTGGTCATTTAAAAATGGATATTTTGAGAATATACCTGTGGTTTTTTTCCTATTAAGTTTTTCCTAAATGAACGTAGGCCGACAGTGTGGGGACGCAGTCAGGAAGGCCAACCGTACCTTGTCATGCATCCACAGATGCATCTCAAGCAGGTCCAAGGAGGTGATCCTCCCCCTCTATGCGACACTGGTCAGGCTGCAGTTGGAGTACTGCATCCAGTTCTGGGCGCCAGACTTCAAGAGGGATGTGGACAGCATTGAGAGAGTTCAGAAGAGAGCCACCCACATGATCGGAGGCAGCAGGGCAGGCCCTACGAGGAGAGGCTACAGGACTTGA